GTGGTCGTCACACTGAACATTTACTCTAAAGTAGTGCAGCCACTGATTCGATGTACAGTTTGATTGTACTCTACTGTTTTGTCAATAAAACTTGTCATAAATACTGTATTCTGCTGTTTCATTCAGCATACCGACCTCATAGAACGTGCAAAGTGCAGTAGAAACTTTATACGTATCTCATTTCCGGCTGTAGGTTCCTTATATCAAAACGCTCAAAATTTCATCCTCTACAATCCCCAAATTTTTAAAACGTCATTCTGATACACCCTGTGTATGTATATACATATATTACAAACTTATTTCATTAGTAAAAGTGCATAGCTGCAAAATAATTCATTTTTATTGTTTGGGCTACAAACAGTTCAAATCCGCTACTTTTGGAGCACAACCACGCTACTTTTTAACCTTCAGATCTGGCAACACTGGTAGTACGAGAGAGGAAAGGACACATGAGAAAGGCTCTCGAAGTTTTTTTTTTTGGAACTGAGTGGACACGAGACGGACTTTTCGAGAAGAAAAGGAAACGAGGATAACGAAAACTGAGAAGGGTGTTTTCGTTCGTACGAGAGTGTAAAGCGAAATCGAAATTTCTTAGGAAAGTAATTTTCATTGGCCGTGGATCGAGAGGCTCACTCAACTTATGAAAATTCACCGTGAAAAACGCCGAATTTATTGGGTACCNGAGGATAACGAAAACTGAGAAGGGTGTTTTCGTTCGTACTAGAGTGTAAAGCGAAATCGAAATTCCTTAGGAAAGTAATTTTCATTGGCCGTGGATCGAGAGGCTCACTCAACTTATGAAAATTCACCGTGAAAAACGCCGAATTTATTGGGTACCAGACTTTTTTCTTTCTTCTCATCTTTACATTTCAATTTCAACTTCTCTCTTGTCTTAGATCTATTTTTCGTTTTTAGTAAGTAATAATTAGTCTTAAGATATAATTGTATATGCTATAAGTATAATAGTCATTCAACGAAGGAAGAATTGTCGCGTTATATAATTGATTCGTTGAATTTTTGTTACTAAAATTAAGTAATAAGTTAAGGGATAGAGCTTGTAGCTGACATCCGATCTATATTCCTGTAATTTGTACTGTACGCGAATTAAAGACTCTCATATCGTAAAAGTTGTGTTTCTTTGTTTACGGTATTCGCGATCCTCACATCCGCAACCAACTACCAGTATTCAGTATCCATTCAACCTCTGGTGAGCTCAGAGCCGAGAGTTAACTCTTTCCTCCCTGTCAGCACTAATAGGACCCTTTTAGCAAGCCCATTACTGGTTCAGCCAGGCCCATGATGGGGCGGCGAAGAATGGGCCAGGCGGATCATTGACAGTATTTATGAAATATGTAAATATCACACTTATATTAATATTTTAAAGGAATATTACGAATATTAAACTTAATTGTTTCGTTAGTTTCAGTAAACAAAGTTTCCTTAGAATTGATTAGAAAAATTTCGTTAGAAGATGCAAATTTTAATAACTTTCGATAAAACGTTTCATTTTTTATTGTGTATCGATTTCAACAATGTATTCTGCCATTTAATCGTAAATATAGAGAACTTGCATGTGACGTATTGGAGTCTCTGCTGTATGTGAGTTTTGTCCAATGCCGTATTTGTGACGTTTCCGTTTTGTTTTATGTTGTTGTTGTTAAGTTATGGCAACGCAACACTCGGGCGATCTGCCTAGGGGGAATGCCTTCCGGGAGGTACTTTTAAGGGAAACTGGCCCCTATTTAGGCGTTACAGACGTGGAGAAAACCCGGAAAACTCCACGTGGCCAGCCCGTCCGAGCGGGGCGCGAACCCACGGCCGAACTCCCAGTGTTCAGGATATGAAGACCGCTTGGCCTCTGGTGGTGGGCCGTTTTGTTTTAACCTCACTCGGTACATGACAGAGTAACCAAACTTTAGATGGAGAAAAGCGTAAACTTTATGTGTCTCACCTAATGAATAGATACGATGTAAATAAATTTTAAAAACAGATACAACAAATTCGACAATACAAAAAAAATTACCACACAGTACTTTTTAACTCTTTCCACCATGTAGTCACTAAGAGGGCCTCTTTTAGCAAGCCCATTATGGGTTGGGCCAAGTCCACAATGAGACGGTCGGATGGTGAAGGACGGGGGTCGACATATCCTGGTTGGACCAACCCAAAAAATTCCTGGGGATTTTTCAACCTGTCCGGTTCGATGCCGGATCCTACAAAGCGGTAGGCTACCACCTTGACTGCTCAGCCATCCGACCGTACTTAGAAGTAAAGCTATGCAATGGTCAATTAAACTATCATAAAACGTACATTTTTAGTCAGTACAACGATGCAACGACCAAGTGTTATAGTTTTTTTAATGTACAGTACTTAATTAAATTTCTTTTGCTAGGAAAGGTATGTTCTGAAGAACTCTTTACCAAAATCTTTGGATCAACCCAGTCGCACGCTACAAAATTAAGCTTTGCGTGATTTTTATGCTTTTGTGTGGTTGAGTTAAAAAATTGGGATATTAAGATAAAGTATTCGCCTAGTGTCGCCACCAGACGGTTTCACCCGGACAAGCCGGTTTTTAAATTCATGGTCCGGATTGATTAATAGCGAGGTTGAGGCCGAAGTTTCAAACGCGAAAACGTGTACGTCGGACGCTCGGCGCCGCTTTCCTGTAAGCCTAGAAGTTTGACAATGGTTAATAGAGAGGTTGAGGCGCACGTTTTAAACGTGTACGTGTGACGTTCGGCGCCGCTTTCCCGTAAGCCTAAAAGTTTGACGATGGTGTTTGGAATGTCGAGCGTGATTCCACCGACTATCCAAACACCATTGTCAAACTTTTAGGCTTACGGGAAAGCGGCGCCGAACGTCACACGTACACGTTTACACGTTTAAAACGTGCGCCTCAACCTCTCTAATATGTAAATTTTCGACTATAAATTCGTATCTTCTATTATCAGGACTTATTATACTGGTTTTACAGATGATATTACAAAGATTAACAGAAAACAATTTTTATTTTATTTCATATACCTGATTTGAGGAATTTTTATTTTATGAAATAAAATAAAAATTGTTTTCTGTTAATCTTTGTAATATCATCTGTAAAACCAGTATAATAAGTCCTGATAATAGAAGATACGAATTTATAGTCGAAAATTTACATATTAATAAGGAAAAAGGACATTGAGTCAATTTAATTAAGTTTGACAATGGTGTTTGGATAGTCAGTGGAATCATGCTCAACATTCCAAACACCATCGTCAAACTTCTAGGCTTACGGGAAAGCGGCACCGAACGTCCGACGTACACGTTTTCGCGTTTAAAACTTCGGTCTCAACCTCGCTATTAATTCGTTCGGTTTTCGTATAAATTGTGAATTTATGATGAAACAAAATAAATTTATAAAAATATTTGCGAGTATTTTATTTTAACGGTTAAACACTTTAACTTCACACCCCCATCCAAACTTATCTTATCCTTTTAAAATTCTAACTTGCAAATATTAGGTCCATTCCAATACAAGTCCCTAACTGGTTTAAATAACCTAGAAAAAAAATTCCGGCAACGAGTTTCGTAACGTTTCTGGCTGTTGAGATTAATTCAAAATTAAATTTTATATTAAACATAAATAAATTTGTGTGTGGCGCCGTTATTAGAGTGTGCAGCCGAAGTTCAAAAGTTAAACTTGTACGGCAAGCAGAAGTACACGTTTGACGTTTGAACTCCAAGTAAAACATGTTGCGCTACTTGTTCTTGTTGCGCACTTACTCATGGGATATTGTTGAAAAATGGCGGAAACGTTTAACAACGATGAATGTTACCAGCGAAGGTAAATAAACAAATTAAACAATTTTAAAGTATTTATAGGATGTTTAATAATATTGTACTAAATAATTACTTTTGACTTTAATTTTGTCGTGTCTCCTCCCGTACGATATTTCTCACGACATACTTTTGTTGATGGAAGTAGTGGCTTAGATAAATCCAAAAGGAAATTATTTTTAGAAAATGTACGAACGTGTTACACTGTTGATGGTAGAAGATGCTGTGAAAGAACAAACCTACTCCAACATAATTATGATAAGCTATTATGTACATAAATATATGTAAATTCTATAGGCACTTCACATCACTTGCAAAAAAATTGAATACTGTAATTAAATAATTTCTGGATTAAAATCGTGTTTCTTTACAATATTATCCATAAATGCTTAAATAATCACTTTAATAAAATACGTCGTAATTTTAACTCCAAACACAGAAAAATGAAGATTTAAGCCGAATTTTACTCACTTTGCTAGACCCGAGGTCCTAGATTATAATCTAGGACCGAGTAAAATCTTCATTAAATCCGGTCTTACTCGAGATATGCAGCCGGTCGCTGATTGGTTAATCCAAATGATTAGCCAATCAGCGACCAGATTGTGAGACGAGAGACGGTGACCAGAATACGGCCCATGGTCTACTGTGACAATCACTCGTTATTTCTGTACATAAAATTAAATTGTCGATTACGAAGCCTTCGTTTATAAGCTTCTAGAATGTTCCGTCGCCCGTTATTGCACGGAAGAGCAATAAATCCAGCGAGGGAGCAGGAGAGTGTATATATTAGAGATTGCGACCGACGTTTTCAACGAGAAAACGTGTACGTCGGACGTTCAGCGCCGCCTTCCTGTAAGCCCAGACGTTTGACAATGGCGTTTGGAACGTCGAGCATGATTCCACTGACGTTCCAAACGCCAGGCAAAGATCACATTTTATATTCTGACGGAAAGTATAGGCTATTTATTTTGCTGAAATATCAACTATAGAATAAACGTTTTATCGATTTCGGATCGGTGATCGCGCTGTCGTTGGTGACGTCAGTGACCACGTGACTTGATGCTGAACCAGGAAATTTCCCTTAAGTTATATTTTAAAATATTTTGGCAAGTGGTGTATTTTAAACTTACTTCATTAAATTTAAGCTAAAAATGATAGCCGTATCGTGTCACATCTTTAAAATAAATATTTCCATAGTGACCACGTGACGTTCTATTATCCAATTGGAAGTTAGAAAGTTATCGCTCATCTAATTAATTAACGTAGGCTGCATACAATTCATCTCTGTTTTGTTAACGTGGATTTAAAAAGACTATTTTGTCAAAAAAAAGCCTGGGAAAAAGCGTAAGAGTAAAAATTGGTCAGGTAAACTCTAGATCTAAAAGAATAAGAACCGAGTACCGCGAAGGCCGTAAAATTCGACTGGAGCAACGTCGAGTAAGAATGGCTTTGACAAAGACTACAGAAAAAGCATGACAACGTCGAGCTTGACTGGAAGCTCTTCTCAATTCTTCAATCTCTACTTTCTCATGAAAATATTCCGTCACGCTTGACAGAAGAATTTCTAGCATGTAATAAAACAATAAATGTACTGTAGTTAATCCCATCACTTACTTTTAAAAAATCCAGCATGTTGCGTAACTTTCCCGGTTATTATGAGATTTAATTTAAAAAAAAAAAAATGCGTTAAGGTAGTCGAAACATTTCCTTTAATAAATACGGCAACACAAAGTGGTAGTAGAAGGGCCCGCGAATTGGAAGAGACTGTAATGTTAGAAATAGAAGAGCTATTAATTAAAATATTTAATCCAAATCGACATAAAACTTGCAGATTTATTTCGTTTCTATTTAGATACAAATAAAAACAATAAAACGTACAGAGATGCATTACGTTCTATTTAATTTCAATTCTAATTAGATTACGGATACAAGTATTAAAAATAAAATCTTTACATCGATTCTTACGAACGAATTATTCTTTTCGTAAATAATTATTTATATGATGTGAATTTATTGATGAAAAAGAAAGAATATATGCATTATAGTAAAAGGATAAATATATTTTCTTTTAAAAAATATATATATATAGATAGATATTATTATTCATTTTATGCTTTGTTAATGCGAATGTAAGTTAGTACGTCGGGAGAAATTTTTATCCATTTTATTTTTGACACAATCTAGAAGATTTTAGTTAATTAAAAGATATGTGCGAATAGTTTCTACGAAAACTATTGATAAAATACGCAAAAAATATTATTTTTAATTTATAAAACTATATTTTCTTAAAAAAAGATAGTCGTGTATGTGAATGAAATTAACAATTATTTTCTGCCGTTCGTCATCTGAATAAAATTCACCCTTCTTGGAACAATGGTAGAAATGAAGCAATTTTGGACTGCAATTGTTTAAACCATGGTTTTAATTTAAATGTATATATTTTTGTATATGTATATTTATGTGTGTGTTTATGTAAAAGATGTAAATAATAATGCCAAATATCTCCCAATAAAAATATGCAATTAAAAAACTGAACTATTAAACGAGACGACGTCCCATTTTAAATTTTATCGCTTCTTGACGATGAAGTTTAGCTTGTTTGAAGATGACCGATGATAAAAGTCTTTACGAAGATATATTAAATGAAGGACAACTTTCGTCTGGAAATATAGCGATTAACGATAATTACACACATTTACAATTAGGATTATATAAATAATATCCGAAAATACGATTATCTTCAAAATTTCGATTGGCCGCCGTTGCCGTCGGCGGGTATTAACGTCGACGGCAGGGGGTTGACGGGATTAGTGGAAAGCTGTTGTATCATTCCAATATCTGTCATGGACACGAGAGCGAATGTATCGCGGTCCCCGGCGGAATGATCTGCAGCGCGTTGGGACGTATTAATAAAAAAAGGTGTCGGATACGCCATTACGGTGATTCCGTTGACCGTTTTGGCTATTAACTGGGATTGCTGTGGACATTTTTGGTAATGGGACGGTGGTCCGTCGCCTGCGCCCGACGTGCCGAGTGTGGTCGAATTTTTACGGAGTGACGGATGTTTACGAGAATTTCCACAATTATTAGTGGTCTTTTTAGAGTATCCTTTGTTTACCTGTAAAAAAAAACAAAGTGAATACTTATAATTTTTAGGAATTAAATTTCATTTATTATTATTATATACACTACAATCATTTTAAAATATACATACAGTATTTACTTTTCCGGCTGTTAAATAACGGAGGAAAATCATTGTAATCTATCGGGTTTCTTTTGCATTTAAAGACATTTTAAATACTTCGAATCGAAAAATATCAAAATTCTGAATTGTGTGTGCGCTGTTTGTTGGCCTATTATTTTGTTTTATAGTTCGGAATTCCACCGACCAAAACTTTTGAATTTTGTAAGAATACTTCTATTTGTGGGTATTGATTCGACATTCTGAAGGTTATAAGTGGAGGGAGTAGGCGTCGTATCTCCATCGGGTTTGGACTTAACAAAAAATTTACTCATTAGCATTTACAACTTTTTTCAAAATTCACTCCCAAATAAGGTCTTTATCTTTTACAATAATTAACACCACAAAAAATTATTTTTAAAGTAAAATCTCAACGCTGTACTCGGTGTTTCTCCTTATAAAAATCTATTTTTAAACTTAAATAGTCTTTTCTGAAAAATAAAGAAATTTCTCACAATTCGACAAAATTGTTTCTTTTTATCTATTATTATTATTTAAATAATATATGGTAGTATAACTGAAAATTATTGGAAATTTTTTCTTGCCGGTCGAGATTCTGCTGGGAAAGTTTTGCAAGAGCCTTTGCCAGCTTTGTAAATTAATATATGTAAATTAACATATGTACTGTACTGTACATATAGATATGTACTGTACATTGTACAGTACATATCTATACATACGGGAATGTAGGGCACGAGTACGAATTCTGTCATTAACTTCTTGACAATGCTGGACAGGCAAAGGTGTACGTAGTCTCTTTTTATAGCATCAGCTTTCAATGCTGGAACTTAATTTTTTGCAACAAAATCCTCTTAAGTGAAACACAAATGTGACATTCGCAATTAATGTAGGACTTATCATAACTTCAGGAGAAAAGCATAAAACATCTTTAACAATTTTGCTGGACAGTGGACATTTCTCCACAATCTTTGGGCAAACGCAATCATTTCTTATAATAACTGAAGGCATTTCCTTCACTCCCTTGCATGCGTTTCCAGCACTGAAACCAATGAAAACGCACTGAACTCGCAAATGTAAACTGCTGTCATTAACTTATTTTGTTGATAGAAATAAGAGGGTTTGTAAAGGAATTATTTACAATTTCCTGTAATGTAAATTTCTACTTAAAATTAAGTAGTAAGTAATTTTAAGTATTGGTAGACAGTCTGAATATAACAATACTGATGTTAGAGTAATGTTAGATTGGAATGATATCTGATCAAATAAAATCTTAGCTGCTAAAATTGTCACGAACTATTGCTATTTATTTGTTTTATGAATCGCTATTTCTTTGCAAGAAAAATTCATACTATTTGCTCTTGATTTTGTAGCCTCGATATGGGTTACGGAAAAAAAAAACAGACCAATCTGCTTGTTCCAAGGCATCTGTCAGAATAAAACTACAGTATTTCAAAATATCAGACTGATTGTTAATGCATGGATATTTATTAGATGGTGCATTGGTGGCTATTTATTTCCAAGATTCATATATATAGGTCTGGACACGATCCTTGAACCTTTGCGGCAGCGGCTGTTTTGGTGCTTAGGAATAGTATATACCCACACGAATGTTCCTGTGTGAGTCGGCTATATTTAAGTGCTCAAGATATGAAAGAATGGTTTATTGTGACACCAAATTGAAAATCCTCAGATGTTATATTATTTAGTTTTCCTGCAGATAAAAAAAAAAGCAAGATGGGTGTGCAGAACTGCAGATGGGATAACTAACTGAACATTCTAAACTGGGCACAATTGCAGATGAGGATGACATTGTTGGGACGTTAACAGAGCTGTAGAGCATATACCCATAGGAGCAAAAGTCAAAAGGAGCCATACAACTATATGTGACCCTTCACAAAATATAGCTCCCCAAAATCAGCCGCACACAATTGGAAGTAGCAACACGCACCACGTGCTTGGCTAAGACTATCACGTCTATCACGTTTAATTATTTAGTCCATGCAATTATGCTGGCTCTGAGTAGTAGCCCACTTGACAGTTCGTGGAGTACTTGATGATATATAGTGTTAACGGGTGCTGAGATGCGAGCGATAGCGACCCTTGACTTATGCGGAGCATGGAAAATAGAGGCAATAGTAATGGTTCAAGGTGAAACCTGTTTTCGGTCAACAGAAGTTAATACATTTATTATTTGTTACAGATACTGATTGCCGTGCCTATAACGTAATTTGCTTGCAAGGATGAAATCCGCAAGCAAGGCAGTGACTGGAACTGCCGCTGTTGGGTTTCTAATTTGTACGCGAGTATCTCGCAAAGGGTCGCTTGTTGGACTTTTCTTTATTCTTTATTGATAAATATTGTTAGCTTGTCTGATCATCGTGCAGAACACAGCGTGACTTTCTATAACACCTGACTGATTTAGGGAGGGGGCTTATCTCGCGAAGTGTCATATATAGATATATGATTGCTTTGACTGTTCTTTGATATTATTGCACCACTTTAGGCAATGCATGCGTAAGTGCTAAAACCAATATAACTACTAATTTGATTAGTTTCAACCAAGATATTAAATGATAAGAATGTTCTTTATTTTAAACCATTTTGATCAAGTTACTTAAATTATGATTGAATAACTATCCAAAATTATTATTAGACTGGAATCGCATTGGTTTTATGTAATTTTAGTTTAATGTCATATAGAACTAACTGCTCGTACAAGTTTGTTTAAAACATGCACTATTCAAAGAGCCCCAAAATAAAGGCTCCATAAGTACAGTAATATTTGAGTCAAGACATATACTGTATATACAGACCTTCTTTATTTCGCTACTAAGTGTGGTATTTACCCACATAAAGGCTGTTGTACTTATTATCATATATTGGGCAAGGTTCATTTTATAGCTGACCATGATATCTTTGGATAGAAGGGATCAGTGTTTTTCAATCTTCTTGAATACGCGACCCCTTTACAAGTTAAAAAATTCTGGCGACCCCCCAGGGCCATATTTAAACTATATCAGTGATTTTAAAAACTACGTATTTAATTTTCTCTCTTTAAATATTGATCGAAAAACCAATTGTACTGTAAAATAAACAGGCACAGCCTTCTCACTGAAATTCTAGTTTTTTTTTATTGTAGGCCAACAAACACTTGTCTTTTTCTTTCACCCGCGACCCCATGTGTAAGGCTTTGCGACTCCCTTGGGGTCGCGACCCACAAGTTGAAAAACACTGGAATAGATAATTGATATTATTGGGTAATTAATTTCCCTTTAGTCTTGTTATATTGCGGGTTATCAGTATTAATAACCGATCATGTAAATCACTTATGTTAATAAAAATTGTAAACGAAAAAAACAAATAAAAAAAATAACGACTTCATAATTCAATCTATTAAAGAAAAAAACAAATTCGAATGTTACCGGTGATCTTTCAAAATTTGAAAAAGTTCGATATTTTCAATTTTAAAAAAGAGTAATTGTTTGAAAACATGCTTGAAAAGATAATTTTTTAAAATACAATTCCATATTTGAATATTTAAAAATAAAATGGCTTTGAGATTTAACAAATCTATTAACTTTTTAAATCTTAAAGCTGTTTTAGTTTCAAGTAAATAATTTGAACAAAGCTGTTTGTCAGAAACAGTAATGTTTCTGACAAATAGCTGACAAAAATAATTAGTTATATTTGGAAAGAGTTTATTGATTTAAAACATTCATAATATAACAACTTTTGACACATGAATTATTTCATTTACCTCACTAGATGGTGAATCAGCAGTGGAGGAATCTGCATATTCTGTACTGGGATTGGTTTGTGTGTATGGACTTGCCATTTGAGCATTAACTGGAGACGAACAATTTGGAATGGGACCACCATACTGACAAATCTCGGTTGCATTCGAACCCGACGCAGCTGTTGGAAGAGCTGAATACACATATTGTGTGGGAAGACCGGTGCTCTGCAAAAAATAACATTAACAATAATAATAACAACTATAAACATCCACAAGAACCCGGTGTATTAATAATCATCCATCCTACAGCCAAATTAATCGGGCATTTCTACCCGATTAATTTGGCTGTTGGTTGGATGATTAATAATTATAACAATAATAATTTTTTGTTTCAATTTATAAACAAATGAGTATTGTGAACAATATATTCTTTTAGCAATAAGGCAATTCCATTGTAAAGTAATAATGTCTCATGTTCGAAATAACAACATGTATGGTAATTAATGAAATGAAATACTGTCTACTGATGTTAATTAGCTGTAACTGTAGCAAAATTCACAAGATTTGTGCACTTCACAAATACTTTCCACAGATTACAACTGTCATTCTCCAATGAAATTCAAAAATAAGAATATTATGTTATGAACCTTTTAATAACTACTAAAACAAATGCAAACGTTACTAATATAATAGATGTTGTCTGTGTGTGTGAATTCCTTTTAACTCCTGCAACTTTTATTCAATCCAGACGAAATTTTGATTATATGCGTTTTATGTTCTGAGGGAAAGTATAGGCTACTTATTTTGCGAAAACATTAGCAATATAATAAACGTTTTTATCAATTTTGGAAGACTGGATTTTATCGACTGACTTCACACAATGACAGTGCGATCCGGTGTCCCGATCGAACTGTCGTTATAGTGAAGTCAGTGATCACGTGACGTTCATGTTCGACGAGGAAATTTCCCGTAAGTTACTTCATTAAATTTAAAATTTAAAAACGATAGCGGCATCGTGTCACTTCCTTTAAAAAAATTATTTTCATTAGTGACCACGTGACGTTCTATTATCCAATCTGAAGTAACGACCTAACGAGCCTGTTATTTACAAAGTGTTATCGCTCATCTAAGTAACGTAGGCTACATACAATTCATCTTTGTTTTTATCAACATGGAATTAAAAACACTCACTAAATAAGCCTAGAGGAAAGCGTAAGAGTAAAATTGATCAACTCTATGTTGCCTTATCCCTTCAAGAAACCGAAACAGTATTCCACATAAAGGCTGTTGTACTTATTAAAAGACAATAGAGTATTAAAAATTTTATGAAGAAAGATTTTAATATTTCTTTTAATAAAAAGCCCATCATCTGTTTATGTGTGCGTAAGTGAATTCTCTATTACTCCTATTTTCCATTCAGGATAAAATTTTGTTTTGTTGCTTTTTATGTTCCAGTCCTACCAGTGGCCAAGCGGTTTCGTTCCCTGAACACTGGTAGTTCGATCGTGGGTCGCGCCTCGCCTGGATGGCTGGCTATGTGGCTATGTCTGTAACGCCTGAATAGAGACAGTTACCCTTAAAAAACCTTTCGGAAGGCATCCCCACTAGGCAGATCGCCTAAGTGTTCTAAGTAAGATCTGCCGCACATAACAAAACAAACAACTCTATGTTACAACAGATAATATAAACTACTTAATTTAGCAAATTTTCTTGAAATATCTACTCTTCTCAATTCTTCAATCTCTACTTTTTCATAAAAAGTATCCAGTTATGCTTGACGGGGGAATTTCTAGTAATAAATTAATATATAAAAACAAACACCAGTTTTTGTGTAAAATCTATATATTGATTTGGCAAGCCTCATATATTGTCCAGGTTCATTTGACAGAATAGCTGAAAGCACCAAATGTGGTTCAGGTATTAAAATAAAGCTCTCTCTGTAGATTATGATTCATAGAGAGATTTGAAAAAGATGTAATATTCGGACATTGGGTGGTGGCAAACGTAAATGTCTTAAGTTAATGGGAAGGCAAGCGCATTTGCATGCCATCTAGCGATTTAGTTGTTTTAATCATTAGGATAATCTTCACTATCATTACTTTTTGCCCGAGCAACGTCGGGCTCATCTGCTAGTAATAAGTATAAATTAACAAATCAGTCCTTAAATTATATATAGCTTTTGCTCTTTTATTACAATTTATTAAATTTAAATTGATAAAAATAAATGCTTATAATGAGGGCTTATCATGACCTAATTACTAACTGTCAAATCAGAAATCAAATATAAAAAATATAAAATTAAAAAATTAGTAAAATAAAAAACGTCATAATAGAAACAATGCTACTGCTGTAGAAGAAAATAACAGAAATACATATGGTAATTACTAATAATACAGAATACCAGAAATTAGTACACAAGTTAAAATACTTAAGTTTAATAGAAAAACTTAATTGGAAAAAAACAGTATTAAATTATAATAATCTTTTATTATCTGAAAAAATAAAAGATAGCTTATCTGAGGGAGTTAGTAATAGTAAGGGATATAATAAACAAATGCACAAAAGTCTAAAATAATAGTAAATAAACAGAGAGCTTACAAGTTAGACATAAATTACAAGAAATTTCTTATAAATAACAATTGAATATTAGTAAGAGGCAGATAAAACAAAACAAATGGTACTAATGGAAATAAATCAATACAAAAATATGAAAGATTTATTAAGTGATTCAACATGTCGTCGATGAAAATACGTAAAGTCGTATATGAAAATTTGACCAAACTGAGTTAGATACGCCTTTAACCTGTCAACAGTTCAGCATTTGTCAAAACTAACGGCTAACGTTTTCGACTTACTCCGAAGATCTTCGTCGGGAATTTGGAAAACTGGAATGTTCTTTTAATTTTCGTTTCAAATCAAATCAATTGTTTAATTTTTGCTGTCACGCGCATTACGGAATTCCTTGATGTGGAGATTTTAATGTGGTGTCAAAACATGTTTGCCACGCTTTCGAGATAGTTTGTTATTAATGCAGTTCTCTTCCTCGTTTGCCTTGAAAATGTGAACGAGTGGAGGAGGCATATGTGGACTCTAAGCAAGCTAGAGTCACTGAATTTTCTCGATCAAAACTTGCTAAAGTACTGGGCTTTGAGAAGGTAGTGGTAGACTTCTCTGTTATCCCCAAGCTCTTCGGCTTAATAATTGAGACTGGTGGTTGATTGCCCACTCGAATCTTAGACGAAACTCCACAACTTAATATCCCCACATGGACAAGCTACTACTAATTTGAGGTGGATAGCATATATTATAAATTAAATACATTGAAAATATGATTAAAAATTTCAACCTGGCATTGTGACAGTATCGAAATAAATATTTGCTCGTTATTAAAAATACTAATAAGCTAATGATTAAAAATACATTTTAAAAACAAATTTCTATTATATTAAATGAAAACAATACGTAGGTATATACGGTACTGCAATTTTACCTTAAAATTCTCGCAGTTTTTCATAAAAATTCTTGCAACACTGCAACAATTTACATAAAAATGACTAAACACACGATTTATTCTGTCAGATTTACAGTGTTAATTCAACAACTTAAACTGGATATATGTAAATAAACACTACACATATAACCAATTTCCAACAAGGAAAACTACAAGAAAGATGAATGAAAACATTTGCTTTCTTGTAGTTTTTCTTGCTGGATATTGGTTGTATGTGTAGTGCTTACAGTGTTAACAACTAATTCATACATAACAGTATTCGTGCAATTTTCTCAACAGAAAATATTTTGTTCACAATAACTCAGAATATGTAGGCCATATATCTGTATATTTTAATAATAAAATTCAATATGTAGTTTTTACATACTAATTTTATATTACACACTCATGCATAATTATTCCATAAATCAGTCTATAAAGTTGCTATTTTAAACTTAATACGATTTCTTAGAAAATCTTTACAAATTAAGGTAATATAAGCCATGCAAAACTAATAGATACACATTAACTTAAGAGTAAAAGATACGGAAATTTTATTATGAAACTTCTTTATAATATAAGCAATTGAAAACTGAAGGGGACAATTGGCAGATAAAGAGGGAAGGAAGGCAAATAATATATGCAAAAACTGAGAAAAATCAAGCAGAATATTATCAGCAAAGAAAAACCATAACCAGATTTTACCAAGCCAACCACATGCATTTTTTTAAACAAGCCAATATTTAATATCAACCTACATCCTGGAGCAAGGTAAAAATACAATTGATAAAGTGCTCTTGTTTTACTTTAAAATCAGAAATTTCTGTCTGGAACAAGGTATGGTGGCGGTGGTAGAAAAGGACCAGCCTCAGAAGCTCCAACAGGGCTATACGTATTGCCCGTCGTCTGAAAGAGTAATTACATTTAAAACAATTGATGCTATTTTTGTTGTAAACTTTTTCTGTTTATAACAAAAGTAGTTTTGTTTTGGTTATACATAAACAAATGGAAAATTAAATATATTAGAAATATTTCATATTCATTTAATTTAATGTGCAAATTAATTTTATCAATTTCAAAAAATATAAATAATAGAATCTGAATATTTATTACAAAGAAAACTTTATTTTATATAGTATAAATCTTGGAAGAGCTTGCACCTTCCTTTATATATTAGAAAATAAAATGTCTCTTGTAACATTAACTTAATGAGACTTTTTTAAATAAAAAGCATATACCAAAACTTACAAAGTATTTTCATTAAATCTTAGGCTTCCTATTTAATTAGGAAACTACATTAATAGGGCCTATTAATGTAACCAAAAACATTTGTTCATTAAAAAATTTATACTTGATTTTAAAAGTTTATGTATTTATTTTTACTATTTCATCCAGTACAGGCATTTTATCTTTTCATTTTCTCATAATATTTTGTGAATGTTAAACAATATGCTTTTTAGTACAAAGAAAAACTGAAATATTACAGAACTCATATCAGTTTTGTATCAAATATGTAATTCTTTTTATATTTATTTTTAACATTTAATGATTTTGTTAATGCAGGTTGATTATTTGATATTATGAATCAATACCAATTATGTAAATATGTTGAACAAATAATCTGCTAATATCTATATTGATAAAAAGTGTAATATTAATAAAAATGAATAATTATATTAACAAAGAATCACAAAATGATAGACACATGTTTTTCGAAAATAAAAATTATTTAGTTCACAATGTATGAATTCAATTGAAAATACTTAAAAGATAATTTTAAAATTAACACACAAAATTTTTCTTTATTTTTTTCATGTTTATCTGATCAGTTTGTTGATAGATACAAAATGCCATATATATTGTAACAGATGGCAATATGCTAAAATATACATTACACAGAATATTTTTGTTAATGTTTATAATATTTTATATAAACTTACATTTATTATATTTATACTATTAAAAAGATATATTCCAAAAGCTACTTTTATTTGTTTGTTGTTTAAAAGAATTTTAAAAAACAAAAAATTACTTTAAATAACTTACTGAAGGAGACCAACGCCATTGTCCACTTGTCCAGTGTGTTGGTGTCTATAATAATTAATTAACTTATTATAAAGCTTATTAATGTTAATGATAATAAGCTTATATAATAACTCCACACATAAATATTAAGTAATAATAAAATATATATATTGTATACTGTAGCTTATTCTCTTGAAAATATCACAAAAAATTTGAAAACATTGTGAAATTAGAAATGTTTCCAGAAATTGTATAATAATCCTTTGATACCATTCATTAATTAATAAGTTTTTAAAATGACTATTTAATTAATTCAGTAACAATAAAAATTCTAAATATAAGTTTTTTCAAGCAATTAAACTATTTAGTTTACTGAGAAGAAAAGAATGAAATGTTTATTTCCATTTATAATTAAGACATGATTTAAAAATTCAATTTGTTAAAAATTAAACATGTTTATATAATTTAAAAAAAAATCAATCATACATATGCCTTAAGAAAGCTCCAGCAAAATTTTTCTTTAATCAAAATTTTATGGAAATAATTTTATGTGGAATGCATCAAAGGAACAATGCAGAAAGAAAATTGAATGGTACTTAGATTTTTGGTAAATTTTACTATGTATTGATACCAGTCTAAGCATGATGTTTATGTTTAAGAAATGCAGCTTATTGCTTTCTTGCTCCATTTGTAGTTGCAACCCAACATGTTTTATTGTAAATGTTTACAAAATGTTCTACATTGTTTGCAATCCCACAAAACAATATAACCAGGCTCCAAAGACACACACATTAATAATTGTATTAATTTTGTCCTGGCATGTTTTAATTAATTGCTTTTAATTAATGTTTTAAAGGCTCCAAAGAATTTTCTAAACTCATTACAAAGCAGAGTCAAAAAATTCTCCACTACACTCATGGCATAAGCCCTAAACATGCAACATGTGCTCATCCAGTTGAACAAAATACCATGTTTTTTTTTTGCTTTGACTAAGATGCACAAACTGGGCATCCAATTATGCCCAGTATTAAAAAATTTTATCTTCCACCCTCCTACTCGAGAAACAACTAGTTAATTTCATCAATGTGAACTTCATACTGTATATACTCATTATAATCAACTCAATTATTTTAAAAAAGGTGTTTAAACCCAATTTTATATCAGTTTATTTATTTAATTTTAAAATCTTATCAATTGTACTTTTATCCATGTACAGGTTTTTAAATATATCCAATTTAATTGCCCAATCTGTGTTAAATAAATATAATAAACATCCCAAAGCCTGATGCACTGATACTAAACCAAATGATCACCATAATTAATCAGGCTATTATTTTGTTGTTATTAATAATTACACATTAAGTAATTTGGTATTAGAGGTAGACATTAGGTATCATCTCTTATCTAAATTAATAATTATAATAATTTATTAAGTAATTTAGAACTGTTCTAAATTATTTAATAAATTGTTAATTTAGATAAGAGATGGCACCTAACGTCTACCTCTAATACCAAATTACTTAATGTGTAATTATTAATAACAACAAAATAATAGCCTGATTAATTATGGTGATCATTTGGTTTAGTATCTGTGTTAAATAATCGAATACTATCTATAAAATGGTCTGAAAAAAGTTAATAAAACGCAAAATGCATTTCTGAATAAAATAATAAAGTCCTTATACAAAAGCCCCTAGTATACAATTCCGCGAACGAAAAGTTACAAACAAAAGAAAGATACAAAATTATCACATAATATTCTTTATTCTCTCCAAACTTTTCTTTTCCCCTCTTTTTTCTTAGGAATCCCAACTTTACAAATTTATGCCTTTCTTTTATACAGAAAAAAAGGAACAGGCTTGTCCTCCACTATCACATGTACAGGTTTGTACATGTGACAATCGTCAAAATAACAAAAAACTACTTATATAACTAACTTATATCTATCTTATAACTAATGAAAAAAGAAGAGTACAGGACAGATGAATATGGAAACAAAATGTAGGAAGAATGGAAATACCCGGGATTTCTTTTGATACGTATATACATTTTTGAATTATGGCGTCAACTTGATATCTTTTGCTCCAAGGTCTGTTCGGCTCCTCTCAATATTAAAGAATTCTGTTCTTTCCTTGGACTATTCGTTGTCCTTACGGCCCCCTTTTTTTTTGAAATCATCTCTTTCCTTTCTTGCCGGTTCAGGTCACGAGCACTTGCTTTTCCGATCCGCTCTCTTCGGAATCCTCTTCCAGAGTGACTCATTTTCTGTCCGGTTTTTTCCCAGGGCCCCACTCCCTCTTTTGTTCTTATTTTCGTGGAAAAGATAATCCTACCCCAGGGGCAAAATGGGTAGATAAGAAGGTCTTAGAAGAGACAAAGAAACAGGAAGGAAGGCTAGGATTAACTCAAAATAAAATATAAAAAATATACAATATCATGGCCGACAGCCAAAAGTTAATATGTTACTATTAGGACAAAATTTGTGTGAGATAAAAAAATCACCCAAAACCATCTAATTCTACATGCTGTAGCTTGGTTGAGCCTTGTTTTTCTTTTTGTTTCTCTTTCTTCCACCATTTTTCTTTCATAAACTTCACTTCTGGCTTTTGTTCTCTTCACCTTACTGTGATTGGTTGACCCAATGGTCCAATGGGTCTCTAGGGAAAAGAGGGACTGGCATGAGAGGATAGAGAGGAAAGCGAAGAAAATTGTCACTTTTTGGAGGGAAGAGCTGGGAAGGAGAGGACCTGATACTATGAAATGATGAATTGAAATCAAAAGACTCAGGTTGGACATTAATTAAAGACAATCAATTATTTAAGAATTAATGTAGTTTTAACCTTTTTTCCTCAAGTGTATTTATTTTCATTCAATCTCTTTTTCTTCCTTTTCGTGATCTTTTTTTTAACATTTTCTTGTGTTGTTTTAAATCCTTAAGTTGTTGTGTAAGTTTTCTTTTTTCTTCAGCTGTCAATGCCTGCTGCTTCTGAATATCTTTTTTCTGTTGCAGAGATGCAATATACAGTCGACCCCCCCTATAATTACGGTCCCTATAATTACGATTCCTATAAAACTACGAAAAAATATACGTATTTTGGAAATGTTGAGTCGGATTAGTGTAGAATCGATTAATTTTATGGAAGAAAACCTTTCAATCAGCCGTAGTCCGTAAACTTGACACGTGTCGGGCTGTGATTGGAACGACTTGGAACGTATCTATATCTTATAGGGGGGTCGACTGTATCACTGTCTTTAGATTCTCTGACTGTTAACAACATTTTCTGGTCTATTTTTATTTGAATAATACTACCTGCAAAATGGATCCCATTATAAACTAAGCATTGAGCAACTAAACTTTCTTCCTTAAGATTTTCACTCAACAGTGATTTGTTAACCAAGAAACTACTCTCAACACTTGCATTCCCAACATTTAATTGTATTTTAATAATTTTTGGTCTAAGCTGTTCAAAGTCTTCACACATTTCTACTTGACATGTCCCTTCTCAATAATCTTTGTGTCATCACTTTCAGCACATTCTGACAAACTCTTAGAAAACAGAATATCTTTGTCGCTTACTTTCAATTCCTTTAAAACCTTTTTTGCTCCAAAATCAATATCCATATTCTTCAGATGTACTAAGTTTTCATTAGCATTTAAACCTATTTTTAGAAACCGCTCGTCGGTGACCCTGTCATTTTTCACAAACTTTCTCATCAGGTTCATTAATTAATAATTGAACAACTGCTTTATAAAGATAGGAAACACCAGGCAGACATCCGACATGGATGGCTCACCACCGCCCTAGCTACATACGCATCCGACCCCGAAGTTGAGCCACAATCATTGTCAACACACCCCACCAGGAACATCTCAGGGGGCTGGAAGACATAGCCATCTACAACGCTGGCCGAGTGACCACGTGTGTCAATTGGAAGGAGGAACTGAGTCTATCTCTCACCTGGCAATCCCTGTTGGATGCAGACCTGCAGCTGCCCCCACTGATGCATGACCGCACATGCTAGAGAAAACCTACTTTGCCAGAATGACACCTGATCCCACAGAATAACATACACTCTATCCAGTGAAATTCCTTAACCAGTTGACCTGAAGAAGAACTGCATGAATGTTCAAAAATGTTTGTCAACTGTGACACATTATGCACCGGTTACAGGTTCTTGAGAGATAGTTTAGATTTCACCCCAGTGCTGAGTTAGAATGGATTCTGTACTTGAATATATAAAAGTACACCTTGTTCACAAACTTACCAAAAATATTCAAATACAATCATCAAATCGAAACAGAAGTAGAATAAAAGGTCGCAGCAGAAACCCACTTAACCTTAAAGAACTTAATTTAGAAGGACTATGCTTACATTGTGGGAAAAAACAACCATAAATCAATAAACTGTAGAGTCAAAGACTAGCTGAAATGAGAATGATGTCATAAAAAAGGCCACACAGGAAATGTATGCATATCATCCTTAAGGAAACAAATGTCAACAATTAACAGGAATCATAACGTACACAATATTAATCATGAACACATAATTAACTTTGATATAAACAGTGTTCTAGATGTATTTGTTAATATAAAGGGAACTGATGACAGACTCCTCACAGAAATTTATGATAATGGTACAAAAGTTGGTTTTGAATGTGACACTGGCAGTCACGTCAGTATCATCAGTTTCAACAAATTCAATTGTTTACAATTGAATGCGCCCATAGCAAAAACGAAAGTGACCTTTCAAAGTTACATAAGAAATATTTTCAAACCCCTAGGAGTGGCAAAAGTAAAAACTAAATATGTTGGTAATTACAGTATAGAGGACTTATATGTCATTCCCTTCCAAAAAAAATGCAATAGTAGGAAGAGATTGGATTCAAAGACTAAGGATTGATATCAATGAACCCAGCCATACAACTAAGGTCAACAACATTTCATCAACAGAAATAGAAAAATCCATTTCAAAAATCATAGAGTGGTACTCAGATGTATTCACCCCCACAGTTGGCCAAATACCTAATTATATTTGCACATTAAAACTGAGAGATGGTGCCAAAGC